TGGCGGGCTTGCTGCCTGCAGTGGGCTTGCTTGCCTCGGGTGGGACTGGCCCTGCCACAGTACCCACCGCTTCACACCCCACAGCTGGCCGAGGCTGGGGCCCGCTGCGACTTCGCCCTCTTCCTGGGGGCTTCCTCGGAGAATGCTGGAGCTCTGGGCCCCCTGGCTGGGGCGGCTGCCGGGCTCAAGATGTACCTGAACGACACCTTCTCCAGCCTGCGGATGGACGACGTGTCGCTGTGGATGGAGGTTGGTGGGCAGGGAGGGGCTGGCACGGGGCAGAGCCGCTCCCAGTGCCGGCACCCACCAGCCCCATTTCCCCCCAGCACCTGGAGCAGTGGCCGCAGCACCTGCCCGTCGTGGCGCACGCGGAGCGGCAGACGGTGGCCGCCGTGCTGATGGTGGCCCAGCTGTACCAGCGCCCCGTCCACATCTGCCACGTGGCCCGCAGGGAGGAGGTGAGCTGGGAGTGGGGACAGTGGGCTCCAGGGTCGGGGTGTGGGGCCCTTTGTGTTCCCCCCACTAAGTGCAGCTCCCCCAGATCCTCCTGATCAAGGCCGCCAAGCAGAGGGGGATCCCGGTGACGTGCGAGGTGGCCCCGCACCACCTCTTCCTGAGCCAGGACGACCTGGGGCGCCTCGGGGAGGGCCGGGCAGCCGTGCGGCCGGCGCTGGGCACCCGCCGGGATGTGGAGGCGCTCTGGGAGAACATGGACACCATCGACTGCTTCGCCACAGACCACGGTGAGCCCTGGGGGACGGTGGCTGCGGGGTGGGGACAAGGGGTGGGGACAGCCCCTGGTGACCAGCCTTGTCCTGCAGCCCCCCACACGCTGGAGGAGAAGCAGGGCCAGCAGCCGCCCCCTGGGTACCCTGGCCTGGAGACGATGCTGCCCCTGCTGCTGACGGCCGTCTCCGAGGGGCGGCTCAGCGTGGAGGACATTGTCCAGCGCCTCTACGAGAACCCACGCAAGATCTTTGGGCTGCCGGCGCAGGAGGACACCTATGTAGAGGTGGGTCCCTGCCCACCTGCCCCAGGTCTGGTCCTGGCCCCACTGCCTCTGACCCACTGTCCTGGCAGGTGGACCTGGAGCACGAGTGGATCATCCCTGGCTGCATGGCCTTCTCCAAGGCCCGCTGGACCCCCTTCGAGGGCATGAAGGTGAAGGGGACAGTGCGGAGGGTGGTCCTGCGTGGGGAGGTTGCCTACATCGATGGGCAGGTAAGGCCCTGGGTCTGTTTTCCCTTGTGTTGTCCGGGTCCCCAAGCACTGAAGGGGTCCCCCAGCACCGACCCCATCACCCCCAACCCCATCACCCCTATGAATGCAGGTGCTGGTGGCCCCTGGCTATGGGCAAGATGTGAAGAAGTGGCCCTCAGGAGCTGTGGTGCCGCCACACGTGGCCCCTGTCAAGGACATTGTGAAGGTACTGGGATGCACGGGGCTGGGCAGGGGTCCCTGTCCATCCTGGCTCCAGCGGGGTCTCTCGTTGCAGACCCCCGAGCGGCCCCGGCACATGGCAGCTGGTGAGACTCTGCGTGGACGAGCCCCCAGCCCCCGCCGGCCCGGCCCCGCGGGCGACGGGCGCTTCCACCCCCCGCCCCGCATCCACCGGGCCTCCGACCCCGGGCTGCCAGGTAGGGGGGCGGCGGGGCTGGCGGGCGTGGCGGGGGGGCGGCGGGCGCGCTGCCCGGGGCCGGTTCTGGGGCCGCGGACGGGCGGCCCCGCTGACGCCGGCCCTTGTGTCCCGTTCAGCATTCCAGAGGCTGGGAGCCGCGCACCGCCCGGGCGCCCGAGGCACCGGTAATGTCGGGGGGGGGACTCACTAATGGCACTAACTGCAGCCCATGAGTGCATCCCCTCCCCCAGGTGCCGTGCGGGCCCCGGGCTGCCCGCGCCGCCCGCCACCGGCCCCTTCCCACGCCCGGTGCCGGGCACCACGGGACAGGGCACGGCTGTGCCGCCTGCCCCGCTCCCGCCCTGGCGCACACAGCACCTCGGGGACCCCTCGCTTGCCAGTGTGATTGGGGGGCGGCCAATTGGGAATTGCGGGGTGCGTGGGGAGAGGGGCGCGGCATGATGTGGGGCTTGGCCTGCCTGTCCTTGGGTGGCCTTCACCTGGCATTGAGCCCTGACGTGGTTTGCCTGGTGCTGCCAGGCCGGGCTGGCTGTGCCATGCCAGCAGCACCCTGGGAGGACAACAGGGCCCAGGGTGCTGCCGCTCCCCACACCCCCTAATGGCACCGCTCCCTTCTCCCACCCAGCTGAGGACACCCGTGAGAAGGCCGGCAGGAAGGCGGCAGAGCTGGGTGAGTGCAGAGGGGATCTGGGGGCCCACAGTGGGGATCTCAGGCCTACGGCAGGTGGTTGGGCTCCCCTGGGCACCCCTGTGGGCTCACCGGCTGTTCTTGGTGCCCCAGATGCGGCGGCGATCCAGGACAGCCACTTCTACCCACTGGGCCCCCTGCCACGCCAGGCCTCCCCCCAGCGCTCCCCCCACTTCCAGACCTCCCCACTGCTGAACCCCCTCGTCGGGCAGCACGTCCTCTCTGTCCAGCAGTTCTCCAAGGACCAGGTGCCTGGGCGGGTGGGCATGGGGACCGGGTGGCCATGGGGGCTGCGGTGCCTCCTGCGCCCTGGCCAAGCCCTAGTGCCCCTGCGCCCCCTGAGCCACCTGTCCCCACAGCTGTCCCACCTGTTCAATGTGGCCCACAGCCTGCGCATGCTGGTGCAGAAGGAGCGGAACGTGGACATCCTCAAGGTGAGCCGTGCACCTGGCCCCCAGGCGCCCCGAGGGAGCCCTGTCCCGGGTAGGGGTGCCCCGGGCTCCCCGAGGTGACAGCATGGCCCCTGCAGGGGAAGGTGATGGTGACCATGTTCTACGAGGCAAGCACAAGGACCAGCAGCTCCTTCGCGGCGGCCATGAGCCGGCTGGGCGGCGCCGTCCTGTCCTTCTCCGAGGCCACCTCCTCGGTGCAGAAGGGCGAGTCCCTGGCCGACTCCGTGCAGACCATGTGCTGCTACGCCGACGTGCTGGTGCTGCGGCACCCCCAGCCTGGCGCCGTCGAGGTGAGAGGGGCTGGGGGGGCTGGGGCCGCCGTGCCCTGTCCCGGAGGTGCTGGGGACTCTGCCCTGATGGCGAGGATGGTGACCTGCACTATAGGGCAGGGACATGGTCCCCAGCTGGGCAGGGTTCGGGTCCTGCCACCATGGGGCTGGTGGGGCCTGCCCTCACCCCTGCCTGCCCTCACCCCTGCCTGCCCTGCCCGTGCTCCCAGCTGGCCGCCAGGCACTGCCGCAAGCCGGTGATCAACGCCGGGGACGGGGTGGGGGAACACCCCACACAGGCACTGCTGGACATCTTCACCATCCGCGAGGAGCTGGGCACCGTCAACGGCATGACGGTGAGGGGGGGGGCTGGGGGGCCAAGGGGCCCTGTCTGGGCCCTGGGGGGCCGTGGCCGGGCTGACCTGACCGCTCTCCCCAGATCACCATGGTGGGTGACCTGAAGCACGGGCGCACGGTGCACTCCCTGGCCCGCCTGCTCACCCTGTACCGCGTCAACCTGCGCTACGTGACCCCCCCCGGCCTCCGCATGCCCCCCGACATCACCAGCTTTGTGGCCTCCAGGGGCATCAAGCAGGTGAGGAGTGGGGTGGGGGGCTGGCCCCACATGCCCCCCCAGCCTTGTCCCCCCAGCCCTGCTGACAGTGCCACCCCAGGAGGAGTTCGGGAGCATTGAGGAGGCGCTGCCGGACACGGACGTGCTCTACATGACCCGCATCCAGAAGGAACGCTTCGAACGGGCTGAGGAGTACGAGGCCGTGAGTGAGGGGACCCCGGGTCCTGCTGCCCTCGGGGGCTGTGGGGGGTCCCCTGCCCCAGCTGAGGGTTCTCTGTGTCCCCTCTCAGTGCTTTGGGCAGTTCATCCTCACGCCCCACATCATGACCCGTGCCAAGGAGAGGATGGTGGTGATGCACCCCCTGCCCCGTGTCAACGAGATCAGGTGGAGGGGGGGAGCAGGGGCAGGGGGGCTGCAGGGTACTGGGTGGGTGGGGGGCTCAGGGGTAGTGTCTGGGGGAATGGGCTATGTAATATACTGGGCAGGATTGGGGGTTCCCAGGGCATGGGGGTGTGGAGGGCTCTGGGGGAGCTGGGTCTGTGCTGTTGCTGTGGGGTCAGGGGCACGGGGGCTGCAGTGTGCTGGGCAGGGTAGGGGGTCTCAGGGTGATGGGGACTGTTGTTGCTTGGTGGGTTTGGAGGGAGACAGGGTCTGTGGTGTGTGGTGGGTCAGGGGTCCCGGTGAGGTGAGGGATCAAGGTGGATCAGGGGTCTCGGGGGAGGGCATCCGGGATCCCGGTGGTGTGAGGGATCCTGAGGGGGTCAGGGGTCCCGGTGGGGTCAAGGGTCCCAATGGATCAGGTCCCGGGGGTGTGATGGGTCCCAGGGTGGCTCGGAGGTCCCGGTGGGATCAGGAGTGCCGGGGTGGGTGAGGGGTCCCGGTGGGATCAGGGGTCCCGGTGGGATCGGGGGTCCCGGTGGGATCGGGGGTGCCGGGGTGGGTGAGGGGTCCCGGTGGGATCGGGGGTGCCGGTGGGATCGGGGGTCCCGGTGGGATCAGGGGTCCCGGTGGGATCGGGGGTGGGTGGGATCGGGGGTCCCGGTGGGATCGGGGGTCCCGGTGGGATCGGCGGTCCCGGTGGGATCGGGGGTGCCGGGGCGGTGCCCGCTGACGCGGTCCCTCCGCAGCGTGGAGGTGGACTCGGACCCGCGCGCCGCCTATTTCCGCCAGGCGGAGAACGGGATGTTCATCCGGATGGCGCTGCTGGCCACGGTGCTGGGCCGGTACTGACCAATAAACGCCCCCGGTCGCGAACGACATCGCGCCGCGACTCCGTCACCGCGCGCGACGCGCGGGCCATGGCGGCGCTGGGGAGGGGCTGCGCGCGGCTGCTGGCGCGGCGGCCCGGGGCGGCACAGGCGCTCACCGCCGGTAAGGGACGGGCACGGCCGGGAGCCCCCCGGCCCGCAGCCCACCCCCGGCACACGGGAGGGAGAGCGGGGACCCCGCCGGGCTCCAGGGGGGTTAACGGGGGCCTAAGAAGGGTCTTCCGCGGCTCGAGGACTCGCCCCGCTCACCCCCGGGCCCCGGGGGGAGGCTGCCTTGGAGGTCCTGCCCCCCCGGGAGGGGATGGGGTCTGGGCTGTGGCACTGGGGGTTCGGTGGGCTGCAGCCCCCCTGCAGGGTCTCAGCACCCCCTGGGTGTGTGCCAGCGCTCGGGCGAAGGCACAGAGGTGCTGCCTGGGCAGAGGCTCCCAGGGCCCTGCCCTGAATTTCCCTAACGATGCTGCTGCTTGCAGGGCTGGGAAGTGCCATAAATCTGCCCCGACACTGGCCGGCAGCTCTGCTGCCCCAGGGATTCGTAGCCCTGAACACCAGGCACCTCTACCCCTCACTGCCTACTGCCCTTCTTGTCCCCCCCAATCCACCCGGGGCCGGGACTGTGGCTGGGTGGTGGGAGAGCCCATCCTGCCTGTGCTGGGTGTGCTCGGGGCCATGCAGGGGCTGTGTGGCACTTCTGGCTGGGAGCAGGGTGTCCCTGTGTGCTCCCTGCTGCGCCCCCTGCTCGCAGCCTTCCCCTCGTCCTGCTGCTCCCCCGGTCCTGCTGCTCCCAAGCCACCAGCCCAGGAGGCTGGGAAAGCATAACCTCAGGGGGTGCCCTGCTGAGCTGGGGCCTCCCCTCGCAGTGCAGCCACTGGCCCTTGGCCCTGCTGCCCCCGGGTGCCCCCCTGCCCAGCTGCTGGGGCCCTGCCAGGCCGCCTCGCTGCTCCCGCTGTTATTTTTATGGGATGTGATGGAGTCTATTGCTGGGCACTGCTGGCCGCACATCCCCTGGTGCCTGGCGAGAGGCCAGGGTGGAGCTGGGAGGGCTGCCCAGGGCCAGCCCTGCCCATTCCCCCCTGGCCCCTGCCTGCTGCTGTGCAGGCTCAGTGTGGCCCTGGGCTGGCTCCAGCCCTGTTTTGCCTGTTGCTGTTTTGGATCAGAGCTGGCACTGCCGTAGCACAGCCCCCCAGTCCCTCCGGGCCCCACCAGCCCCCAGGGGCACACGGCTGCTCTGTGGGTGCTGGGCTGACGCTGGATGTGGTTCCCCCGGCCCAGAAGAGGCTCTGCCCTCAGGCTGGGCTCTCTCTCCCTGCCTGTGGCAGGTTCCCAGGCCCAGCTGAGGGGGCACGGCTGTTCCCTCCAGGCTGGGGCAGCACTGCTGAGGCCGAGTGTTCCTGCTCTCAGACCCCCATTCACGGCTGGGCTTGGCCCCTCTCTTCTGGCTGTGCCGTGGTCCATGCAGCTCCCGTGCCCTGGGCCAGATACATTCCGGCCTCCAGCCCTGCTTTCCCTTGCTGCTCCCGGAGCCCCTGGTGCTGCCAGCTGGGGCCGGGCCAGGGAGCTGCTGGCAGTTGGCTGTGTTGCTGCATCCAGCCGTGCTCACCGCCCGAGCTGCTGTCTGAGGACCACGGGGTCGGGCAGGGCTTTGCCTCCTGCATCCCGGGCCCCAGGCCAGGCTGCCGGCAGGGCCCGGGCACAGCAGGCAGCAGCACGTGCCCACAGCCGTGACCTTGCTGTCCCTCCCTGCCTGTGGAGAGCAGCCCCGCCCTCCCACCGTGGGGATGCTGTGGGGTGCCCTACTTAGGTTCAGGCCCAATTCAGAATCCTCTGGTCGTGGGAGCAACGACCTGGGGGTCAGCTGGGCACCCTGGCTCTGGGCTTGGCCTGGCTGCAGGCTCCAGCCCCACGCAACCATCTCCCCCTGGGCAAGCACTGGTGCCAAAGTTATCGTGAGAGACTGGATCCAGCTGCACCCCAGGCCCGGGCAGAGACAGGTCTGTTCCCCCGGCACAGCTTTGTCACCGCCGGGCACCGTGCCCGGACCGTTCGGCACTGGATGAGTAACGGCAGTGCCACGGCTGCGTGTTCTCAATGAGCATCGTGCCCCTGCACCCAGCTCCTGGGAATGCTACCTGTGGGAGCAGCCAGCACTCTGGTGTGCTGTGCTGGAATCCTGCTCCTGCTGCCACCCCCTCCCCTGCACTGCTGCAGCCCGTGGGCTGGCAGGGCTGCCCTGCCATCATGGGTGGGAGCAGAGGGCTCTGGGCTGGGGGACAGAGCCCCAAACCCTGGGGCTGGTCCAGGGAGGGGGATGGAGCCTGTGAGGCGGCAGCAGGAGGTGCTTGGGGCCTCCATGGGGCTGTAGAGCCCGGGCTTGCCCTGTCTGGGGGCCACATGGCATGGTGTTGGGAGAGGGAGCCAGGCCCTGGTCCCCCATGAGCCGCTCATGGAGCCCCTGGGATAGGGCTGGCCCTGAGCTGGCCGTGACAGGGGCTGCTGGGATGGGGAGTGCTGAGGCTGGTGCTCCCCAGGCCAAGGGCTTGCTGGGCTCAGGGCTTACAAGTTCAGAGCAGAGCAGCAGTGGGGCTGAAGACCTACCTGGGAACTGTCCCAGGAGGAGCGGGGGGAGTGAGCAGGAGCTGCCAGGGCCAGGGGGAGCAGTGCTGGGGCTGGGGGGCAACACCGGGCCAGCCAAGTTGCGTCGAAGGGGTCAGGGGTGTAGAATGGAGCAGGAGCTGCCAGAGGCCCAGCCAGGCAGCATCCCACCGGGGACACTGATCTGGAAACAGGGCCAGGAAGCCGTGCCAGCAGCCGGCCACAGCGAGGGGCTGGGGCAGCCCGGGCAGTGGGGAGCACATCCTGCGTGTCCTGGCTGCTGGCAGAGCCAGAGAATGACTCTCCAGAGAGGAATCACAGTCAGCAGAGCCTGCCCAGTGCACAGGGAGAGATTTGGGAGAGGCTCAGGAGAGGCCATGGTGGGGAGCACAGGCAGCAGCCAGGTGGACTGTCCTGAGAGCCCCAGGCACCACAGGCCCTGGGTGACGGGTGTTAATCAGTCTTTCACAACAGGTCAGCCCCATGCCCAGGGCACCAGGAGGAGATGCAGTCAGGCACTCTTTTGGCCAGAGATACTGCAGCGTCCTGAGAGGCCCGAGGTGCTCAGCAGGGCTCAGTGCAGGCAGTGAGGAGCTGCAGCTGGGATGGAGCTGGCGGGGCCAGAGCAGGCTCAGGCATCCCGGGGCAGGGGAGCAGCAGCAGCACTGGGGCAGGGGGCCCAGCCATGGGCAGGGCATGCAGGGGTCTTGCCCACCTGAATGGGCTGTGCTGGTCGCAGGGGCCCTCATGGGAGCTGGGGATGTGATCACACAGCAGCTGGTGGAACGGCGGGGGCTGCGTGGGCACCATGGCCCCCGCACCCTGAAAATGATGGCCATTGGCTTCTGCTTCGTGGTGAGTGCCAGCACAGCAGGATGGGATGGGATCGGGGGCTCTTTCATCAGGGTGGGGTCATGTTGCCCCCCCAGTGTGAGCTGGGACATCCTGATGCCACCTCTGGCAGCCATGGGCAGGGCTGGTTCCCTGGAGCATGGCAGCACAGCCCAGTCAGAGACAGGACAAGCCCATCCTGATAGTCTTGGGCCCATATAACCAGCTCTGGAGCCCCCTTGGCTAGTGAGGGTGGGTGCTGCTCCTCACCTCCTGGCTCCTGCAGGGCCCCGTTGTGGGCAGCTGGTACAGGATCCTGGATCGGCTCATCCCGGGGAACACAAAAGTCGTGGCTGTCAAGAAGATGGTTCTGGACCAGGTTGGTGTGACGTGAGCGAGGGTGTCACATCGGGCTGGAGCAGCAGGATGGGGTGATGGGTGCAACCATATTCCTGTGGCAAATTTCCATCCCATTCCATGAACCCCTGTGCCTGAGCTGAGCCAAGCCCCACCGTGGTGGAGGGTTGGGGTGGGCAGGGTCGCAGGGGCTGCCCGTGGCCAGCCCAGCTCCAGGCACCACAAGCCCCTCGGCATTGGCCCCGGCTCCTCTCTCACAGGGGGGCTTCGCCCCGTGTTTCCTTGGCTGCTTCCTGGCCATCACGGGGGCCATGAACGGGCTGTCAGTGCAGGATAACTGGTCCAAGATCCAGCAGGTATGTGCTGCTGCCCTGGGGTGGATGGGGGGGCCCTGGGGAACCGGGGGGGCCCTGGCAGCTCCTCCCGGTGCGCTGGCCCTGGCGGCTGCTCCCGTTCGTGGCTGTTCCCACGCCCAGGCGCTGGGTCCGAGGGCCCTGTGGGCAGCAGGTGCCCGGTGCTGCCAGTCTTCTGGGTTCTGGCACCACGGCCATTCCTGTGGTGTGGCACCAGGGTCCCACCTGTGCCGGGCACAGATGCCATGGGCTCCTGCGTGCTGGAGGCCCTGCGTCCAACCCTGCTCCTGGCTGGGTCTCCAGAGCCATTACGGAGATGGCTCCCATTGGCAGTGACTGCTGGAAACCGGTGCGAGCGCTGAGTCAGCGTGTCCAGAGTGAGTCACCGGGGAGCGGGTGCCCACCCGCCGCGGGACGAGGTTCGCTGGGGTGGTCGCCTGGCTGGCATGGGTGGCAGCACCAGCCTCGTGCACCACTGCCAGGGCCGTGTGTGAAGGGCCCCAGCCCAGCCAGACCTGCTGCCCTGGGCTGGAGCTCTGCTGCCATCGCCCAGAGCTTGTTCCTCGGTGGGGTGCCACCCCCAGGCACTGCCCTGCTGGGCTGTCAGTGCGTGCCCCTCATCCTGCCCTGGGGTGCAGGGAGCAGATCCCGGGGCAGGATTGTGTCACCTCTGCTTTCTCAAAGCTCTGCATGAGCCACAGCCAGGGTATGGGGTGCTCCAAGGCACCCCAGAGGCACATGTGGAGAGGTCCTGGGTACAGACAGCACCCCACGAGCTCTTGTCCATCCGCTCCTGCTGCATCCAGACCAGCTGGTGCCATGGATCTTGCTTCAGCTCCCCCAAAGCATCCCACCGTGGTGGGTGATTCCTGCAAGCTGTAGCTCCCAGCTGCCGTGGCAGGGGGTGGCTGGGCTGGGACCTGGGCAGCGGTGCTGGCAGCACCTTCACCCCTGGTTTGGGGCGCATCCGCCTTTCCCCACGCAGAGGAAGCGTCAGCAGAGCATCCATCACCCTGTGCCCGCTCGCCCCGTCCTGGGCTGCCAGCCAGCACCAGGAGGAGCCCGGGCTCCTGGCTGAGTCACGGCCAGGCTGGATGAGGGACTCGTCCTGCTGCCATGGGACAGGGATGCGGCACGGCCGCGGCTGCAGCTCGAGGACAGAAGGACAGCGCCTCGGGCTCCCAGGGTGGATACCCTGGCTCAGTGCCCGTCTCCGTCCCTGCCCCAGGGTGCCTGGGAGGGACCTGGGGGTTGCGGGGCTGAATAGGGGCTCACAGCCCACGCTGGGGAGAGGAGCTGCCTACCCGTGTGCCCTGGCTGTGGCACAGTGGGGACAGGGCGGTTGTGGCTGCCCTGTCCCTGCCACCCCCGTGGGCACAGCTGGGGGAGACTCTGTGCCCCATAGTGGGAATGGGGCCCTCTGCGTGCTCAGACCTCCTTTCTCTTGCAGGACTACACAGACGCCCTGATGACCAACTACTGTGTGAGTGCTGGTGGGTCTGTGTCCCTGTCCCCAAGTGCCAGGCAAGGGTGGTCATGGGGCACAGGCGCTGGCAGGGCCCCTCACTGCTCTCCCCTTCTCTGCCTAGATCTGGCCACCCGTGCAGATTGCAAACTTCTACTTCGTGCCCCTGCAGCACAGGTAGTGTTGTGGCTCTGGCCCCCAGCCCCTGCCCCCCTGAGCCAGCGGCTGTGGACCCTTTCCCCTCTGTCCCCAGGCTGGCTGTTGTCCAGTGCGTTGCCATCGTCTGGAACTGCTACCTGTCCTGGAAAGCAAATCGGATGTGAGGCAGAAGCCGTGTCCCACCCCTGTCCCCAGCCTGTGCGCTGCCTGACCCCGCCACACCTCGGGAGCCCTTCGAGTGGGTGCCTGTGGCTGAGGACAGGCTGAAACAGGCAGAGTGCTGGCAACAGCTGTCCCTCTCTCTCCCTGGGGAGACACCGTCACCACAGCCCCCACTGCCCCAGGGACACACTGGGGAGAAGATGGTGCCAGGGCACCCTGAGACAGGCCTGGAGTGGCTCTGGCTCCGGCTCCAGCTCTGGCTGTGCGTGTGGCAGCTCTGCCTGCAGTGTGTTTCTCCATCCATGCTCAACCCTCTCCTGGCCCCTACCTGCACAGAGTCCTCCTGCCCCAGGCATCACTCTGCCCTTCCCCGTGGCACATCCCTGGAGGAAGGAGTGGGAGTGCCACTGGGCCGGGGCTGGCCCTGGGCTGGCAGTACCATGGGCACAGAGCTGGGGTCACTGCAGGCTGGGGGTGCTTCCCCTGAAAATGGGGTTTGGTGTGACTCTGCTGTAGACAGTCAGAGCACCAATAAATGGCATTTTTCACTCTCGATTCCCATGGTCCTCAGGCTCATGGCCCAGCAACCCCTCCAGGCCCTGCAGAAGCAGTTCCAGAGTGACCATTCCTGTGTCACAGATCGACAGCTCCACTCTGCCTTGTCCCAAGGCACTGAGTGTGGGGCTGTGGACCGCAGGCTGATGGGATGAGCTGCCCCACTGACTGGGTGAGGAGAGGGGGCTCCAACAGAGGGTGGATGGTGGCTTAGGGGATCACCAGGTTCCACTGCAGCTGTTCCATGGGCTGTGACAGTGCCCTCACTGCTACAGAACAGTGGGACAAGGTGAATGGTGTCAGGGTTCCAGCACTGGGTGCAGAGTCCCCACAGGGTCAGGGTGTGCTCAGTGCAGGGCTGTGCATCCTGGGAGGCTGTGGGAAGGGTGGGGAGTAGGGCTGAAGCTGGGGCTGGGACAGGGCTGCCACCACCAGCACTGCTGCCCCGTGGGGATGTGTGTCCGTGCTCACCCTACACCAGGAGTGAGCAGACACAACCCAGCTCACACAGCACATCCCAACCAGGGGCTTCGAGTGGAGCTGGTAGGATCGTGGTGGTTCACCTCACCCCCGCAGGGCCTTGAGCCCCAGCCCCCTCGGTCTCACTGTGGCAGCCCCATGCAGCTGGACAGAGCCATCCCCTTGGTGCTGGCATCAGCTGGGTTCTGGGGGCTGCCAGCATGGCCCTTATGGAGAGGATGCACCATCTATCCTTCCTCCCTCGCCTTCACTCCTGCCCTGGGCTGGCCTGGGCTTTGGGGCTACTCTAGGCAGGTGAGTACAACCCGAAGCATAGAGGAGCTGAATCCTGCTCCTGTGCACTCATCTGGGGATGGGGCCATAGAGCCCATCCAGCTGCTGGCACTCGCCTGAGGGTGAGGAATGGGAAGGGGTTGTGGCTGCAGCCCCCAGCAGCGCTTGGTAGAGCAGCACAGGGCTGGGGCCAGGTGATGGAACCATGCATGGATGGCACCAGGGCCTCAGGGGGACCTCAAGCCTTGTGTGGGCTTGGCCCAGGCTCTCTCCAGTGTGTGGAGTGGGTGCTGTGGGTGGCAGGGTTTTGCAGTCCGGAAGCACTGAGCCTCTTGCAGCTCTGTCTGAGGGTACAGGAGGCTCTGGGGTGTCAGCAGTGAGTGAGCTGCAAGCATGGCATGAGCCACGTGGCGTGAGCCACTTGTCCCCAGGAGTAGCTGCCCCATGGCATGGGGCTGCCAAGGCTTGGGGGCCTGAGCCCAGCCCCTGCTGAGGGCTGTGCCCTGCCGCTGTGGGAAGCGGTGCCGAGTGCCAGCCTTCACGCCAGATCATGTCACGGGGCCATGGCACTGTGTGCTGCCTTGCTGCGAGCAGGGCTGTGCCCCACTGCCCCTGTGCCACCTGGTGTGGGACACACCGTGCAAGGGGCCAGACTGAGCCTCTGTCCCCAGATCTGCCCAACACTGGCACCGTGGAAGGAGCCCAATCTGGGCCTAGCTGGGCACCTGCACCAGCGTCGGTTCTGGGTGTTGGCTTGGCTGCAGTTGGGGTTAGGGGGTCTGCACTCGGGGGTCTGCTGGCAGTGGTGTGGTGCACTCGGGCGTCTGCCAGCAGCAGTGTGAAGCACTCGGTGGTCTGCTGGCAGTGTTGTGGTGCACTCAGGGGTCTGCCAGCAGCATGTGGTGCACTCAGGGGGGCTGCCAGCAGTGATGTGAAGCACCAGCAGCCACCTCACCGTTTGGCAGCGGCGCAGGTGCCCCATCGGAACACCCTGCATCGAGCACGCCGCTGCCGACTCCGGTGTCTCCGCTCTATGACTCACAGGACTTGGCCGGTGCTGCCGCTGCGCTTCGGGGTCTGCAGCTCCTGCACCTCGGCACCACCCACTCTGCCCGGGGCACGGGGCCACAGACAGGCCGGGGGTCCCCCACCCATGGCCGTCCTGTCCCGGAGTTGCCGGTGCCCGGGGTGTCCCCCCCACGCCCAGGGATCCCCCCGCACGCCCAGGGATCCCCCCCACACCCAGGGATCCCCCCTGCCGCCGCCCACGTTCCCCGCTCAGGACGCCGCTGCTCGAGGCGGCCGCTCGGCCCGGTAACGCGGGGGTCCGTCGACGGGGAGCCACGGCTTAGCCCAATACAGCTCACCGGTACAGCTCACCGGGAGCTCACCGGTACAGCTCACCGGGAACTCACCGGTACAGCTCACCGGGAACTCACCGGTACAGCTCAACGGCGCGTCCCGGCCGTTCAGCACCGCGGACAGCGGCGGAGAACGGGGCTGGCGGGGGGCAGCAGAGCCGGGAGAGGAAGCGAGGGAACCGGAGGGCCGGGGGAGCGGGGGACAACATGACCCAAGGCACCTGCTGGCACCGGTGGCGGGACCGCCGAGCCCCTTTGGCGGGCGCCGGAACGGAACCGGAGCGGCGGCCCCCGAGAGCGGGGAGAGCACGGTCTGCCCCGCCGCCGGGGACCCGCTCCCCGCCGCCCCGGTGCCCCCCGCTCCCGCCCCCCGCTCCCGCCCCCCGCCGCCCCGTGCGTGCCCGGCGCTGACGTCAGCCCGGGCTCGGGGCCGATATAACCCCCGGACGCGCCGCCGGCTCAGCTCCCGCGGGACGGACCGCGCTCGCTCCGCCGCCAGCACCGGCAGCAACAGGGGACGGGCACAGCGCACCGGGTACGGGCCGGGGCTTGGGCACCGGGCGGGGACAGCGCCGGGCCGGGGCCGGGGGGGCGCAGCGGGGATGGGACGGGGCGGCCGGGCGGGATGGGGGCACTGTGCCCGGGGCGGTCCCCGCGCCGCCGGGGACGCGATTCCCGTCGAGCCCCCGCAGCCGCCCCCGTCTCTACCGTGGCACTGAGCCCTCGGACTCGCAGGTTCGGAGGGACCGAGGATGCGGCGGGCGCTGCTCACTCTCCTGCTGCTGCTCGCCCGCTCGCCGCCCGTCGCCGCCCTCCCCGCCGCCACCGACGGCTCCGTCCCGGCGGCCGCGGCCGGGATCGGGGCTCGGGGCCGCCCGCTCTGGCCGCCGCTGGCGCCGCCGGCCCCGGGGCAGTGGAGAGGGCGGCGGGACGAGCCGCCGCTTTCCATCGACCTCACCTTCCACCTCCTACGGCACCTCCTGCTCCTCGCCCGCGCCCAGAGCCAGCGCGCCCGCGCCGACTCCAACCGCCGCATCCTCGACGCCGTGGGACGCTGACCCCCGCCGGGAACCCCCGTAACCCCGGGTCTGCACCGGCCTCCGGCCACCGCCTCGGCCTCTGCGCTGTGGGGCGCCCGGCCCCTCACCGGCAAACGCACCGGCACCGACACCGGCTGCACCCGCCTCAGCCCCGGCGCTGGGGCGAGTGGGAGCGGAACCGGCCCCGGGACGGTCCTGCACCGAGTTTGTAATAAAACGTGGTGGAAACCCGAGGCGTGAGCAAGTGGGGCTGTGCTGGGCCAGGGGCTGGAAAACTGGGAACGGGCTCACTGGGAATGAGAGATGAGCTCACCAGGTATGGGGAATGGACCCACAAGGGATGGGGAATGGACTCACCAGGAACAGGGAACGGGAGAATAGGCTCACTGGGATTGAGGAAGGGGCTCACCAGGAATGGAGAAACAGACTCATTGGAAGTGGGGGAATGCATTCACTGGGAATGGGGGATCAGGCTCAGTGGGAATGGGGAACGCGCTCACTGGGAATGGAGAAAGGGCTCACCAGGAACAGGGAACAGGATGAGCTGGGCTGGGACTGGGTGGCAGCAGCTGGGCTGGCAGCACAAACCCACCAGCACTGGGGATGGGGTTGTGTGTGTTCCCGGATCAGGACATGAGATACTGTGGTCTCTGGGGAGAGAAGATGCTCCCAGACCCTCAGGTGTGGCAGCAGTGGGAAGCAGAGGGTACAGAGTGGTGGGAACAGCGGGTCCTCATCACCAGTGAGCTGGACACAGTGGCTGCACCCACCTGTGGGCCGGTGGGGGTGTGAGTGGGTGAAGCAGCTCCACCCTGGGATGGCTGGTGGGGCTGGGGGAGGGACAGACACAGGCCCTTCGTGGGGGGACATGACCACCCACTCAGGAGCACCAGGGGTGGGGGGCACCTCTGTGGGACACACGGTGCTGCCGAGCAGGTCAGGGCTGGAGCCATGGGCAGGGAGGGGGACACTGTGGTGGGCTGTGTTTCAGGCCCCAAACCAAGAGCACAGGGATGAAACCTTCTGAGGCAGCTGGGGGAGGTTCGGCCTCCCCATGGGTGGCCCTGTTCCTCACCAGGACCTCCAGCCCTGCCTGTGGAAGGTGTCCCTGCCTGTGGTGGTAGGTGGGACTGGGTGGTCCCTTCCCATCTAAACCAACTGAAAATTCTGTGGTAACATCCCACTACATGCTGGAGGGGCAGCATGGCAGGGCTGGAGCAGGGAGGGGTGTTTTTGAGAGGGGTGCCTGGGAAGGACTGTGTGGGGATGTGATGGCAGAGGAGGTCGGTGCCTGGGCAGGCAGGAGAGCAGACAGAGGGGTGCAGGCAGGGGGTGCAGCCCCTGGATTTTGAGCGAGCCACTTTCGGTGACCAGATGGCTCTGGTAGGAGGCAGCTCCAAGGGATGAGGGAGCTGAGGAATGCCAGAAGGCCTTTGGGAATGAGCTTGAGGCTTGGTTGCAGCTGGAAGGGACCTGGGGAGATCCCCCACTCCAGCCCCTACTCCAGCTGCTTGTGCTGTGTCCATTGGGGCTGGAAAGGGCAAATTCCACTATGGCATGAGGACCCTGGAGCTGGAAGGCCATGCAAGAGGGATTGTACTGGGAGAGTTACTCCTTGGAAATATTCATATTGGATGGGACACTGACCTCGACACTCCAGCCAACCCTGATGAGCAGGGCTGGGTATGGGAGGGCTCAGGGGCCTCTTACCCTTCACACAGCTCTTGGCAGCTTCCCAGCTGGTGGAGCCACAAGGCCTCTGGGCAGCCTATTCCAGATAACCTGGGTGATCAGCTTCACTGCAAAAATACCCCAAACCTTTGGAGGCCAGTTTGTACCAGTTGCCTCTGGTTCTGTCATGGGGCTCCACTGGGAAGAGCCCAGTTCCCTCTTCTTTCCCTCCCATCAGGCAAGTATTTACATGGATTCAACCCCCCAAACCACCCCAGTCTCTTCTTTTGCAGCAGGTGCTCCAGTCCCTTCAGCATCACTGGGACCCCTCCCTGGGCTGCAGAGGTCACATCCTCCTTGCCCTGGGAAGCCCCAGCCTGACCAGATGCTGCACCCACAGCCCCTCCTGCTTTGTGGATCCCCCCACCCAGGGAGCTGTTGCTCACCTGGATCTGCTGGGAAAAGATGCCACTGCCACCTCCCCAGCTCAGTCACCACTGAGGATTTTGTTGTCCTTCATGTCCTTCAGTAGCTGCAGCTGGACAGTTATGATTAAGCAATAGCACCATGAACCTTGCAGGCTTGGCTAATCTTCTCTTTTAAGGAAAAAGGAAGACCACTCCAAGAGGAATGGGCTGCCTGGGGGAGAAGCACCAGGAGTGTTGTCAGCAGGACTGGGCAGCACCTGGGGAAAAGGTAATTCCAGCAGCGGGAGGTCACGACCACTGACTCACTGACCACCTCCTCAGAACAGACCCCCAACAAACAAAGAGCTGCTCCTGCAGAGGGATCAGTGTGGGAAGGGAGAGACACCCAGCAAAGAGGGGGTTGAGTGCTAATCAATAAAAGAGTTCTGTAATCTGTAACCAATGAATGCTGGTACCTTTGTTTGCTCGAATGGGTAAAAAGTTCTGATGCTTGGGGAGCAGGGAATGGCCTGGGGGAACCCCCAGCCCCCGTCTCTGTGCTGACTGAAATAAAGCCAGAAATCCCTCCCCTCGGAGTGGGAACTGGGGCTGTGCACCCACCTGGTGACTGGGGATTTCACACGACCAGCCCTGACACCAGGACAACCAGCAGCTCAACGGCACAACACATTCTGGAGGTATCTGCTTGTGAGGGGTGTGGCTGAAAATTGCCAACCAGCAGGATTTTGGGTTTGTGCTCTGCATAAGCTGCATAAGCAAAAATCTTTTTTCTACACTTTGGTGACACATGTACTGGGTTTTTGGTATTTGCACGTGTTTTTACACCAGGAGCTGGTGATGTAGAAACTGGGGTTAGAAGTGTGTGCACTGGGATAGTGTATGAAACACTGGAAATTTCAGAACCGAAACGGTTCCTCTGATTCTTTAAAAATTCCCCTTTGCTTTCCCCTTGGACATATCCTGAAGAATTGGGTAAGTCTGGGGGTGACCATAAGACTCAAGATAAATTGAAAAGATGCTCTAATCAGTCATGGCCTCAATATACATTAGATGATGGTGAAAAATTTCTGGAAAATAGGTCTTTGAAATATAATATGATTTTACAGGTGTTATTTTGTAGGAGGCAAAACAAATGGGATGAAGTCCCTGATGTAGATTTGCTTTTCACTTTAAGAAATAATTAGTAAAGTAAGGAAAAAATGTGGTTTAGAAAATTCAAAGTATCAAAATGAAATATATTTTTTGGTTAATGAAACAAGAAAAGAGGGTAAGGAGAAAGATACTCATTGTATAGGACGAGAAGATAAAAAGAGACGAAAACTCTAAGTTTCATGGTCAGCAGCTCCTCCAACACGAGGATCAAAGCTGGAGGTGGTCAGTGAATCTGGCAATGAAAGAGTTGGGTTTGATGCAACGCCTGTTTTCTGGAGGACCAGAGAGAAAGACAAGTCGGTATCAGAAGCACCTTTAAGGCAGCAGCCGGGCCTGAAGGGGGAGGCAGTGGATGTGCATGTGCAGGTCACACCTGGGGCTCGCTGAATCAGAATCAGTGAGCAGGGACGTGCCACAGGAATCCCGAGGGAATGTGCAGTGGGATGTCAATTCATAATCCAAACTGGGCTCTTCTGAAATATTTGTCTCCCCATGAGGAATGGAGGGCAGTTTGGAAAAGGCTCGGGAAGGAGGAGTTAAGGAAATAGAAGGATTAGGTTCAGGTTCGGGGCATTCCAAATCGTGACGAATTTCTCCCTAAGAATGACCCAGAGTGGGATTCCAATCAGACTACTGGTGAGATTCACTAAAATTGTATCAGGAACTGATTTCATTGGGAATCCAGAAGGGAGTGGAGAAGCGGAAACACCTTGGCAGGTTGTAGGAACAGAAGCAGGGAGCAAAGGAGTCTCTGTGGGCTTTTTATGTAAGATTGTGTGAAGCGGCTCCCACAGGTATGGACTCAGATCCAGCAAGGGAGGGAAGCAGGGTGCTCTTTAACAGGCTTTTGCTCAGGCAGTTTGTGCCAGGTATTAGAAAGAAATCCAGAAAGAGAGAAGGAGCATTGAGGGTGGTTATTTCTCAAGTGATGTCCATGAATAGAGAAGAGAGAGAAGAGAAGGAGAAGAGCTGATGAGATTCTCAAATCCGTTGTCAACTGCCCTGACCAACATGCAGGGATAGAGGGGAGGCAGAGGGTGAGGTGGATCCAGAAGGATCAGGGTGCCTGTTGCAAACAGGAGGGGCACTGGGGAAAGGAGTGTCCTGAGCTGCAAAGGGACAGAGGGGAGAATCAGAAGAGGTGGGACTTATGACAGAAACTGGGCTGGACTGAAGGGGACTGGAGGCATCTCTCATCATTTCCCTGGCCAATCCTTTGGTTCCAGGTAAGCTGGGGAATGAAACAATGGATTTTCTAGTGGATACTGGAGCAGCTTGTTCTGTAATTGCAGAAAGAGGGACCTTTAGCAAAACCAAAGTCAGTGTTGTCAGTGTGGCAGAGAGGAACTTCTTCGGGGGCAAGAAATCCCTCAAACCATCTTACAACCCATGGAATTCAGGACTGGGAACACGAAATGAACACATCCCTTCCTCCACAGGCCAGAGTGTCCCTCCTCATTGCTCGGGCGGGATTTGCCCCGTGGGTTGTGCAGCTCTTTGCTGACGGAAGCGGCGACACGTTGAAGGGACAGCAGGAAGTTGGTCACACGGTGGGCACTGCCAGGGGGGCACCGGGAAACAACCCACTGCCCAGCAACACCTCTGCCAGAGAGCTGCACTGTGAGCCCTCACTCAGTCCCTGCAGTTGAGCTGAGGAAAGAAAGTCAATATTTATACTGACTCAAAACCTGTCTTTGGCATAGTCTGTGCTCACGGGGCAGTTTGGGAAGAGTGACAAATTTTGAACTCACAGGGGAGTTTGGAGAAATATGGATCTGAAATTACAAAACTAGTGAAAGCAGTTCTTCAAGCAAATGAAGTTACAATAATCTAAAAGTGCCCTAGAAAAGAAATCCTGACCCTGTAAAGGGAAACCAA